AAAATAAAAATAATATACTTATAATTTAGTGCGGGAGAATGAGACCCTGGTGTATATATTGACATTGACATGTTATAAATTTTATAATAAAAATAGTATTATGATGGTGTCACTTAAAAATTATATTTATTTAAATGAAAATAACTTATTTTTTCAAAAGGAGATTTTAAATTTAAATTTTATAAATAAAAAAATGAGTATTAAAAAAAATTTCTTATAGAATTTAACTTAATTTAACTCTAAATTAATTAAAATTTACTATAATTTTTAAATACAAAAAAATTAATATAAAAATCATACTTGATATTATGAAATTACAAATTAAAATTATTACCTGTAACTTTGATTTGTCGTTAGAACTTAGATGAAATGTAGAAAAGGCATAGATCTGGAGACTTAATTTTCCATTTTTTGGACGGCGATAGACATAATAATTAGACATGGTTTTTTTATTAATTAGCAATCAAACACGTGCTTAATTCAAGGTAGACTTTATTGTAAATAATGTTTTATAAAGTTTTGTGATTATTTTTTTTTCATCCTCTTAAAAGGTATAAATTTTTTTAATTTAATATTTTTATGTTTGGTATGATTAAAAAATTAATTAATTTTAATTTTATATCATTGTGTTTGATTTGATCAAAATTTTATGAAATTTAATTATTTACAATTCTACACTTATTGTATTTGGTTTGATTAAAAAATGTATAATTCAATTCTAAACTTCTAAATCAAGAAAATAGTTTCAATTCTCATCAATTTTAGTGATATTTAAAAATAAACCTCATATTTTTTAAAGATCATAACCTTTAAATTATTTAAATACCGCTCAAATTAAAACTATATTACTCTCCTCCGCAAGTAGGTAGGATATTTTTTCAAAAATTGAATATTATACTTATTTCAAATATAAAATCTTTTGCAATTCAATTAAATTCTATAATTTTACGGATTATTGCAAGAACAATGATAAAATGGACAAATTTTATAGAATCAAAATTTAAAATCAATAACATGGCATGAATCATGTTACTTAAAATATTAAAATTTTATATTATTTAATTATTGACTCTTTCTACTTTATTAAAGCCCATGATATTATATGCAACAGTTTGTTTAATGACATAGCTTATATAATACCATTAGTCCCAAATTTTGATCCTTTCTATGCAAATATAAAAATTTACTTATATGAGTCTAATGAATTCTTTTTTTTACAATGAAATGAATTCTTTTTTCATTTAAACCAAATACAGTCAAATATTTTAAAGCATAAGAATTTATTTTAAATAAATTCACTTATGAATTAATTTTAAAATAAAATGAATTTTAATTCATTTGCATACCAAACACACTTTGAGAATTATATACTCCCAATATTGTTGAATTTTTTTACACAGCCTATATTGTTGAATTTGGCTCAACCTTGTTTGTCATAAGTGATAAATGCCAAAAAAAAAAAAGAAAAAGAAAAACCTTGACGGTCTAAACTAAAAAAAAAAAAAAACTAATAATAAAACATCATTAGTACAAGAGATGGATTCTGTTTAGGGAATCAAATCACGATATGCTTGTTGGTTTTGGACAAAAATTATGACTCTTAGTAGTTTAGTTGTACTCGAAAAGCAAATTATACCATCATTAGCCACGATTTTCCTCATTTCAAAAAAATAAAAAAGGTACGAAAATTTATTTTCTTTTTTGCTCAAGATTTATTTAGTAATTCCTGTGTCAAAATCCAGCACATAATTGTCCAAAAATTAATTGGAGCATGGTTTTTGTTCTGGGCAAATGTCACTAAGCCCAGCATAATTGTCCAA